AGTAGAGTCCAATAGTGTTATAAAATCCTCGGAGAATTCCGGTAAGATATATTTAATCATTTCTAAGATACAACGGCTCAAAGCTTAGTCTAACAATTGTACAATTTTGCTGTTACACGATTTGGACAATTTTTCTGTTGCACTTGGTATATCATTTTTATCGATTTCACCCCAATCGAGGCAGTAATGCCACTAAAACCCTAATCCTGCCGAGTGTAATGTATCATTGAAGATCTTCAAAAAACTATCAAAATACAAGTACCTCGAAATCGAATTTTTTTAATCGGACTCACCCCAAACAAAGCAGTGATCCCACTAAAACACAAGTGGTGTGAAATGATTAGGAACAGAAACGTTAATAATGAGTGAGAAGAGAATAGAGTAACCAAGAGGATAGTAGACAGCGATTGACATTGCATTGAAACTTTTTAAAAGTTGGCTGGATAGCATAGAGTCGGAAGGGAGTTTCACAAGCGTGAAGTGCGAGAAAAGGAACTGTTAGCATAGAACTTACGGCTACATCTAGCCTGCCCAACTGTAAATTGATGAGATCTCGAAGCCAATCTAGTACTGCGCTTAAATTTAAAACGTATAGGTAACATAGCGAACATCTCACCCGAACAATTTTAAAGTTGTATGTTGCATACTCAAGAGTAAGAAATCCAAAGAATTTATGCTTCGCTGTTAAAAAGAAAAAAAAAAGAAATTTTCATAAAAGATATTATTTACCATTAAATCTTATAAAATTAAATTAAAGAAATTATTAAACCACGAAGTCAAAATATTTTCCGGAACAAATCAGCTTATTTCAATTTCATCGATTGGTATGCGAAATTGAACGAAACGTAGAGTTTGCAAATCTCGACAAAAATGTTAACAATAACTTCAACAATATTAAATACATTATTACAAAGATGAGGACAATACCCCGAATAATGTAAATAGTGTACATAATACCTCATCTCAGAAATATAGACAGATACTAAGGGGCCGAAACGTTGTAATAAATATGGTGACAAAGATGAAGACAATAGTCCGAATAATGTAAATAGTATACATAATACCTCCTCTCAGAAATATAGACAGATACTAAAGGGCCGAAACGTTGTAATAAATATGGCGACAAAGATGAGGACAATAGTCCGAATAATGTAAACAGTGTACATAATACCTCATCTCAGAAATATAGACAGATACTGAAAGGCCGAAACGTTGTAATAAATATGGCGTCAAAGATGAAGACAATAGTTCGAATAATGGAAATAGTGTACATAATACCTCATCTCAGAAATATAGACAGATACTGAAAGGCCGAAACGTTGTAATAAATATGGCGACAAAGATGAAGACAATAGTTCGAATAATGGAAATAGTGTACATAATACCTCATCTCAGAAATATAGACAGATACTAAAGGGCCGAAATGTTGTAATAAATATGGCGATAAAGATGAGGACAATAGTCCGAATAATGTAAAAGTGTACATAATACCTCATCTCAGAAATATTGACAAATATTAAATACAGTGAAGATTTCAATACGCTAAAGCGTGTTGCAAAAAAAATTCTAGTGTTACAAATTGTGCAAAAATGACATGAAAGCCATCTGTAGCCGGTTGACACAAACGCATTGCAATCAGGAATTTGTCTGAAATATCGGTCACATAGACCTACTTGCTTCATTTTTTAGAATTTTTAATTGTTTCTCCCCAAGCACGACGACAATGACGACTAGAACTGAGGGTGTTACAAGGAATGAAAGTGAGCGCAAAAGAGAAAACTGAGAAGTGGGGGAGGACTGAGGAACGGACAAAATATGTACAGGTTTCAAGAAGAAGTAAGATGGTGATTGGCATTGCATTTAAATTTCTGAAGATTGTAGTTACCAGGGAAGCAAGAAATCGGAAGGGATCCACAGGTATGGAGTGCGAGAAAAAGAAACTGTTAAAGTGGAAGTGGCGGTTGCGCCAAGCTATTTCAACAATAAAACAGTGAGACCTACGTGCCAATCTAGTAGCACGTTTAAATTCATGTGGTCAGGCACTAGAGGAAAAAAAAAGCTCGTCAGAGCAGTTGCCATGAATATATACAGTGTTGTTCGATAAAAGTGACTCACCTGATTTTTTTTTTTTTTTTTTTTTTACTAAATGTTCTCTTCTCCGATGAAACGAAAGTTGAGCTAAATTCAAAGGATAAGCGATCTAAAACCCGAAGAAGAAGCTTTGAAAGCTCTTTGAATTTAGCAGTAAGTACTGTCAAGCATCCATTCAGTATAATGTTCTGGAGATGCTTTTCTTTTCATGGAACTGGTTTCTTAAAACCTATTGAAGAGACCCTCAGGAGCCAGCAGTACAAGAGAATTTTAGAGTTTGGTCTGCTCCCTTCTGTTGAAAGGGTGCAAATCGACCCCACCAAGCTCATTTTTATGCAGGATAACGCTCCCTGTCACAAATCAAAATTGATGAAGGAATACTTTGATGAGAAGCAGGTGAGTGTTATGATATGGCCACCCCAATCTCCTGACCTCAACCCCATAGAAAACTTATGGAGCATTATAAAGTACAGGCTCTCGAGAAAGCAGTTGAGCAACATGCATTTAGAAGACAGAGTGACTGAAGCCGAGATGTCTGGTCAGGATCGATTACATCACAGACTCTTTTTGAGGGAATTTTGTCAGGAATTCAGTCATGTAGAGCAGCATTACCAGACCTGACATTACAACAATGCACGGATGAAGAACGACCATCTTGCAGAACAGAATCCGCTCATTAAGTGAGGACTGGTTGTATAGAAATAAGCAAATATAAATAAATTAATAAGGTTTCGACTCCGAGGCGAGGGTGTCGAGGAAATAGCGTAAACCCTTTTTGCATTAATGGATTTTTTTCTTTGCAACAAATATATTGCAATGGACTAGTTGTACAGGCAATACACAGCTGAGTCAATTTCAAGGACACTTCTAAGATTTTCCTAAGATTGCTGCTGCCCTAATGAATCACAGAGTTGACAGACACGATTTGATCTGATGGAGCGTAAGAAGAGTAAAACATTTGGGTATGTGGGGTACGCCGGGCTTATGCGGGGTACGCTGTGTTAGAAGCGCTGAAAGCTGGTTTAAAGAAATCGGACGAGAAGATAAGCTTGTCATTTAATCAAAGACAGGTGCGATGATTAGATAGAAACGTCGGGTTTTCTTCGTTTCTGTCTTTCCTTCCTTTTTCGGTACGTTTTTATACTTTCACTTCTTTTTTATTCTTTTCCTATTTCCTTCTTTCTTTCTTTCTTTTTTTCCCTTTTCTTACTTTCTTTCTTTTTTCATTCTTTCTTTCTTGTTTTTTATACTTCCAATTTTTTTGCCCTTTGCCTATTTCTTTCTTTCTTTCGTTCTTTCTTTCTTTTTTTCTTTCTTTCTTTATACTTCAATAAATAATTGAAGTATAATTTCAATAAATAATTGAAGTATAATTTCTTTGCCTATTTCATTTTTTCTTTTTTCCTTTTCTTTCTTTCTTTCTTTCTTTCTTTCTTTTTTTTTTTCTTTCTTTCTCGTTGCCTTTTTTATACTTACAATTCTCTTTTAGTCTTTGCCTATTTCTTTCTTTCTTTTCCCTTTTCTTTCTTTCTTTTTTCTTTCTTGTTTTTTATACTTCCAATTTTTTATCCTTTGCCTATATCTTTCTTTCTTTCTTTCTTTCTTTCTTTCTTTCTTTCTTTCTTTATACTTCAATAAAGAATTGAAATATAATTCCTTTGCCTATTTCCTTCTTTCTTTTCCCTTTTCTTTCTTTTTTTCTTTCTTTCTTTTTTTCTCGTTGCCTTTTTATACTTACAATTCTTTTCTATTCTTTGCCAATTTCTTTCTTTCTTTCTTTCTTTCTTTCTTTCTTTCTTTCTTTCTTTCTTTCTTTCTCGTTGCTTTTTATACTCCTAATTCTTTTTTATTCTTTGCCTATCTCTTTCTTTCTTTCTTTCTTTCTTTCTCGTTACCTTTTTATACTTCCATTTTTTTAATACTTTGCCAATTTCCTTCTTTCTTTCTTTTTCGTCGTCTTTTTATACTTCCACTTTTTATATCATTTGCATAATTGTTTCTTTACTCATATAACGTTTGTATACACGTAAGGAAACAAACACGCGAATATGTGGATAACACACAATGCCTATTCACCTTCTGCGCTTCTAGGTGTACAGTACAAGACACTCTGACATCTTACGAAGTAGAGAGTCATTGTTTAGGAAATTTCATTAAAATTTAATTTTTGCCCCCCAAAATTGAAAGTGAAATTTGTATTCTGGAAACTAGTCAGTTTTGACAAGCAGTGTTTCATAGGGTGTGTTCCAAAAGCTGTTGCAGCCGTCCTTTTCGATCTGGTATAACAAGAGTTGACAGGCCAGCTTATCAGATGTATAATATTGATATGCTAAAATTGCAATAATCTAGGACAGCCATAAATAGCTCTCCTAAAAATGTTTAAAAACTTCTGGAATATCCGTCGTATGTGTAGGAAATTCCAAATTGTCTTCACGTCTGGAGTCAAAACATAAAAATATAAAAATACTTTAGAAAAAAATATCAGCAATACATTATTGGGCGTAAAAATGTCGGCAATATATTTTTGCAATACACACACACACACACACACACACACACACACACACACACACACACACACATATATATATATATTTGTGTATATTTAGGCAGCAATTTTTCATTAATACATGTTTCATTAAATAATATAGACATGTTTTGTCTATTTATTTTAAGTAAGTTCCTTTCATATTGTCTGATAAGCATAATCACATTATCATCAAAAGACGAAAGAAAATCATCATATTAATACATGTTTAAATCCAATTTAAGCTTTCGGCTTACATAAGCCATTATCAAAGATGACAATTACATTTCAATATATCAAACTACACACGGACGTTGTCGTTGATTTGAAATTTTTCATGCAGCAAGGACGGACTATCATTTTTGTTTCGTCCGTGTGTTGTTTGATTTACTGAAATTGTGATCTTTTATTTTAGTTTTAATTTCAAGCTAATAGATTAAATTTAATATTTCCCAAAATCAAAATACTTTGCTGTATTTCAAACCGAATTTAAATTTATTGGTATTATTTTTGAAATAGATAGAATCGGCCATATTGACCAATCTGTCAATACAACATAATTCTCTTTATTAAAAAATATTTCAAAAATAAAATATACTTTTCTGAAACTTTATTTGAGGAAGATTAACTGATTTAAAGTTTGATCAATCGGAATTAAAACAAATATTGCTTACTTTTAGTTTAAAATATCGCAGAAAAGCTTATTTTTTAACACGGCAGTGGTATTTTTATGAGGTGTTGACACATTTATCGATATCGTAATGTTTGGAATTTTTAAGTAATGGGCATATAACTGTAAAAATTAGTTGAATACAACGTGAATGTTTCTTTATATCATGTTTAAAGTTACCCAATAGTCTTAAAAAATATTCTAACTAATCTAATATTTTATTGAATTTTAGGTACTTTGGCTTTATAGCCTGACTTACGAAGGCACTAGTTGAGGAAATGTTAGAAAATTACCAATAAATTTTAAATGAATTATAGTTACCGCTCTTATTTTCAGCTAATGTCGTGTATGGACGTCCGTATTTACAAAAATCGGGACGTTTATACTCACAATATAAATATTTTTTTTTAAATTCTGGGTGGGGTCACTGAATTGTAGTAAGCTTTCCCATTTATGATTAGTAAATATAGTTTTTATTTGAAAACAATATCACCTAACCGTTACAAATTAATACAAAATTTTAAAAGATTTTAAAAGTTAAAAATTTTCCTAATTAAAATTTAAAAAAAAATGAAAACAAGTCTTGTAAAAATTCATTATTCATCAAAATTTTTTTTCTTAAGTCGGTAGTGTTCATGATATATCTTATTCATAAAAGCAATTAAACTTTTTTTTTTCTAATTAAATAATGTTTTAGTTTTATTGCATTTTTATTTTACGATTCAGCGCAGATTTTCTCTAACGGACGGTCCTGTTTGACAAAAAAGATTTGATGATTTAAATTCTCCGAGGACTTGTCTTCATAACTAATATAAACATTAACTGTCTATATTTCTGAGATGAGGTATTATGTACACTACTGGATCTAACCAACGCCGTTATCCACTGCGCCAAGGACACATGGTACAGTGAATAAAGGCGTTGGTTAGATCCAGTGACAGGACCCGATTAAGGCAGGGGAGAACTTGGGGAGGGGAATTAACAGGAGATAACTGATAACTGACATCCAAATTAAACACGGCACGAAGAACTAGAACAGTCTACCCCAGTGAGCGAAATAAAGGGTTTAGTTCGACATTCCGGCCATTTGAGGAAGACCGGAGCGTACAACGGCCGAAACGTTGTGATAAATATGGGGACATAGATGAAGACAATAGTCCGAATAATGTAAATAGTGTATAAACATTAAGCGCTACAAAAATGAATTTCTCGAAATTTCATGAGATTAAATTTGGGCGCGGGTAACAGATATAAAAAATATTTTTACCAAAATTGTTTTCCAATGCTTCTAAATTTGTGAATACGTCCTGAAAGTTTCATTAAAACCCAACAATTATGTGATTTTTGCAAGAATTTCCAAATCTATGTTTTCCACTGAAAAAAAAAAGACGCTCAAATTTCCCATGCTAATTTATGGTCTCACGCTGACATGAGAAAAAGAAAAATTTTAACCAAAATTTCGAAGGATCTAAACAAGATTACAAAATATAATTTAAGAATCAGAAAGTTTTTCCGCATTTCCTCTTAATACTAACATAGAGATTTTGACAATAGAACTTGGTTTTGATTGAGTTTGGGGCATTTTTTTTTTTTTTTTTGCATCATGGCATTGCTCATTTTTTAGCGAATCTTTGGAGGTACCTGTGCTTCAGTGAAGATACTGAGAAAGCGAGAGAAAACACACGCACAAACACACACACACACATACACGCACGCGCACACTCACGCGTGCGCGCACTCACACTCATAAACGACCATACGCAGAGAGAGAGAGAGAGAGAAAGAGAGAGTGGGAGAGAGAGAGAGAAAGAGAGAGTGGGAGAGAGAGAGAGAAAGAGAGAGTGGGAGAGAGAGAGAAAGAGAGAGTGGGAGAGAGAGAGAAAGAGAGAGTGGGAGAGAGAGAGAAAGAGAGTGTGGGAGAGAGAAAGAGAGAGTGGGAGAGAGAGAGAGAAAGAGAGAGTGGGAGAGAGAGAAAGAGAGTGGAGAGAGAAAAAGAGAGTGGAGAGAGAGAAAGAGAGTGGAGAGAGAGAAAGAGAGGGGAGAGAGAGAGAAAGAGAGAGGGGAGAGAGAAAGAGAGAGGGAGAGAGAGAGAGAGAGAGAGGAGAGAGAGAGAAAGAGAGGTGGGAGAGAAAGAGAGAGAGAGAGAGAGAGAGAAAGAGAGAGTGGGAGAGAGAGAGAGAAAGAGAGTGTGGGAGAGAGTACATCTTGCCATCAATATGATTCATTGCTCTCTTTAACTTTGTTTGGTGTCTACGGCTAAAAGGCAAATAAATAAATATAAAATGAAATCAAAACAATCCTTTCGACATACTTTAAATTATGTCAGTCGATGGAGTTTTTAAAGATGGATGAGAAACTCCATGAAAATTTAATGCGCGTGTTTTCCATTTTTTCTCACCCATTCAACTCTTGTTTAGATGTTTTTTCGGTTATTTTTTCCTTTTTTTTTTCCGTTTATGTCTGCACTGATCAGAGCATGCGCACATCGACACCACATTTCTGTGTTAGGCGGCCATTTCTTTTTTGTCTCATGCATACAGCAGCTTATGAGCTGCACATATGCGTATAGTTCTGTATATAGTGTGTATGCGCGCGTGTGTGTGCGTACTACATTAGATATAGCGAAGTGTAAATACTTTCACTATTTTGTGCGTGTGTGTTTATGCGTCTGTGTTTAATGTATTAGATTATAGGGATGTGTCAATACTTTCACTTGTGTGTGTGTATGTGTGTGTGTGTGTGCGTACAGCATTACATTATAGGTATGTATCAATACTTTCCCTAATGTGTGTGCGTTTCCATGTGTGTGTACGTACAATATTAGATTATAGGGACGTGTTTCATTCGTGTGTCTGTGTATGTGTGCGTCTCTGTATTTACTGGATTAGAATAAAAGGATTAGTCAATAATTTCACAAGTGTATGTCTATATGTGTGTGTATGTATGTGTATAAGCGTGTGTGTGTGTACTGGATTAGATTATAAGGATGTGTCAATAATTTCATGTGTGTGTGTGTGTATGTGTGTGTGTGTGTGTGTGTGTACGTATATGTGTGTGTGTATGTGTATACGTGTGTGTATACCGGGTGTAACAGCAAAATTGTCCAAGTCGTGTAAAAGCAAAATTGTCCATTTGTTAGATTAGGCTTTGAACCGTTGTATCTTAGAAATGATTAAAGATATCTTACTGGAATTCTGCGAGGTTTTTATAATACTACTTTGAGCAATAAGAAATTATAATGACTCTCCAAGTTTTTTTTTTTTTTTTTTTTTATAAGCATTTCACCTCAAGCAAGGCGGGTGTGCCACTAGTACGCAAGGGGTTACAGATCGTGAAAGTAAGGGAAAAGACAGTGGGGGGGTAGGATTAAAGAAAGGATAAAAAGAGAAATAGAGAAGCATAAGAAGGAGAACAGGGATCAAGGCAACAGAAGATGTCGATTGACATTACATTTACATGTTTGAAGATTATTGTTATCAGGGAAGCAAGTAAGAAGAAGGGAGTTCCACTGACGGGAAGTGAGAAAGAAGAAGCTGAGTAGAAGAGGCGGTTACATTTCACTGTTTCGACAGTAAAAAGGTGGGACCGAGATACCAACCTAGTAGCACGCTTAAATTCATGCAGTCGGGGCACCAGTGAAAACAGCTTGTCAGAGCAGAAGTCATGAAAATATTTATAGAAAAGACAGAGGGAAGCTACATTACGTCTGTGAGAAAGTGACTGGAGTCGAGATCTCAAGTCAGGACCGATCACATTGCATATCCGTCTTTGCGTTTTGTCGCGAACCTCGAGATGAACAGCGGGGGCACCAGACCTTATATGTCAACAGTATTTCATGCATGGACGAATAGTAGATTTGTAGATGTGAAAGATGAATTCAGACAAGAGAAACCTTCTGGCATAACAGAGAGAACCAACTTTCCTTGCAGTAGATGCAGCTATTGATTCAATGTAGTTGTTCCACCTCAGGTCAGGGGAAAACACGAGACTAAGAAAGCACAGTGGGAATCTCACATTGAGTTGAGCATCAACCATGCTGATAAGAGGCAGGGAAGTTCCTCTATGGCTAGTAAATGACAGCAGTTTCGTTTTGGATGAATTAAAATTCACAAGCCATTTCCTGTCTTCGTCAGCCACAGATTCGAGGTCGTTTTCGAAAGAAACTGCCATGTTAACTTTGTCAGCAATGTCGGACTTACTAATGAGACATGAGTAAATGGTAGTGTCGTCTGCATAGCTGCCTACTTGAGTACTGATGACGTCAGGAACCTTAACAGAAGAATCACGAAAAAATCGATCATAAACGAAAATGACATGTTCATCATTAATTAATCATAGCTAAGGATCGGAAGCTCATGAAGGATTGAAATTAAGTCCATATATATATATATATATATATATATATATATATAAAATATAAAAGGCTCAAACACTCATATTCCATGGCTAAAATTTATTACATTGGAATGGTAATCACGATCCAAATCATCAGACGTACAAATATAACTCCGGGTATAAAAAAAATTAAATTAAATAAAATATATATATATATATATATATATATATATATATATATATATATATATATATATATATATATGTAAAATTAAAATTAAGAATTAAAATTAAGATTTTTTGCTGTGCTTTTAAAATCCAGTAATAAGTTACTCCAAAATTCGCTTGAGGATGAAATAGAACTAATGTCTTTAATT